ACCTCCCCAACATAGGGTTCAAGATGTTGAAACACAAAACTCTCAAAGAAAACGAAATATGCATCCATCTCTCTTCAAATTTCACACATACAAACATTTTTGCTAACACAAGATCTGTTGTGAAGATGATATATATCTGCGAACCCCTTCTGGTACCTCACCCACACAGGATCACAATTTTCAATACTTTTATCTGTCAAACTTGCGAAGCAAGTCAGCGATTCTTTACAACTTGCTATATCTAAATATTTCTCTCAACCAGAAACCTGAGATGAAAATGGTTTCGCATAAAATTGGAAATAAATGTTTGATTTCCTTGTAATTTTGCGAACGACGAATCCTATTGAAATTGGAGATAATCGGATCAGATTTAGATATAGCTCCCATATATCTTCAACCGATTCCGGGTTAATTGTGCACCAAATGGCCAATATAAGCCTAAATGACCTGAATTTTGGCACATCCAACTGAATTCGGTTTAGAAACAAGTACATCAAATTTGGAAATTCGAAAATCGGTTTAGATATAACTATAGCTCCCATATATAAGTTTCATCCGATTTGATCTTTAAATCCCTCACATTCGTAAAATGCATTCGACGACAATGATTTTTTGGTACCAGATATCTTATAGAGCTCGGAAAAACATTTGCCAAATTTTATCGAGAGATTGGCCACCAGAACTCAAGCGCCAGCCATGGTGAGGGTGTGGGCCGCCATAACAGCCGATGGTCGCTCTCCGCTCGTATTAATCGATCATGGCATCAGAATAAATGCCGAATATTATGGCGAAAATATTCTGGAGGGTGTATTAAAGCCTTGAGCACTCAAATATTTTGGCCGCAGACCTTGGACATTTCAATAGTACTCAGAACTTTCGCACTCACCACGCGCCACCCAGCGTACAATTGCCCCCAAAATCTCCGGAAAGCAAAGTTGTCACTAAAAAATTCCAAAGTGTCGATCACCTCAAGCAAGCTCTTCATCGGAAATGGGCCAAAATACTGCAGAGCAACATTCGGGCAGCGTGTGACGGTTTTATTGGCCGTTTGACCAATTCGAACAAATCTAGACTTATTTTAAAATTTGATGCTATTTCCGACATTTTTTGCTTTCATTACTTTCAAAAAAATGTAAAAATTATGACGTTTGACTTTGTTGATGTTTTTTATCTCACCCTGTAGGTTCCTTCAGAACCTACTCCATAGAGGGTCAACAATTTCAATTATCACATGTCAAAATATATTTAAATAGTCGAACATTGGCTGAGGGTATACATCTGTGGGCAAAACCGTCGGATACTTTTTAACTGGTCATTTTTCTTACATTTTTGTAAATTTTACTAGGAAATGGTAATATTTTGCAGTTGAACCCCCGAAATGTAGAATACACAAATGCCGAAAAAGTGGTCATTTGGCCTCATGAACACCCTTCGAACTACCCTGAAATGAATTTATTTATCATTTTACCCTAGGAATATCCCAACTGGTAATTTGACTATATTACTGTCCAATGGAAAACGCCTCTGGGCAGAAAAACCCATTACTTGTTCTGATCCAATTAAAAATTATTAATTAATCACCCATCTCATCAATAACTTAACAAGGTATCGCCCGGATTTTCATTATCACTAATTGATTTCTAAATGATTATCAAATCCCATATGAACGTGGCATGCAACGTCACAAATGTACGAATACGCCTCATTTCCATTCCCAGTGACCCGGACGTTATTAAAGCCACCTACGAAAAAACCACATCGAAGAGCTGATTCACTCTGGGGCATTTTTCGTCTCTCAATATTCTCAGTGTTGGAGGAGAAGAAATTCTAGTGGAGGCGATGCCGATGGAAGACGTTGCACTTTTGTATTGAAAATTCTAAATTAAAAATATTTCTTGTTGTTGTTATTATTATTTTCATTTTGTTTTATTCAACAATGATGCCCGGTATTCAGTGGGAATCGTGTTGTGTTGAGTTGTTGGTTGAAACAAAAAAACGTTAGAACTTCTATTTTAAAATAACATTTTTTGTAAGGGTTTTCCCACATTTCTATGCAAAATGCCAAATAACCGGGCAGCGGTGTAAAGGTGGAGTCCAGCTTGTCATTGTGGTTGTTGTTGCTGTTTGTAATCTTGGCTAGTTATGAAGTGTGAATAGAGAAGGAATATCGCACTCTGTCTGGGAGTCTGGGGTAATTATCGTGAAATCAAACTTGTCTCTCCGACTATAAATTGCCAGTGTATTCTTTTGGCCTATTACAATTGCATTTCGAACATGGCTCGAACGATTAGGGGTCGTTGTGCTGTTGGCACAAAATACAAATTATGGCTGAAGACGGCAACAATTCTGATGATCTTGGGATCTAACCAAATGGGTAAGAAGTACAGGATGAATCTGTAATCAATGCATCTTATGTCTAAATTTCCATTAAATTTCAGTTTCCGCTGGTGGTTATGGTGGCGGAGGTGGTTACAGCGGAGCTTCAGCTTCTGCCTCGGCAATTGCTAGCAGCTATTCATCTGGTGGTGGAGGAGGTGGGTGTAGTGGTGGCTGTCCCGGTAGCGGCGGCAGTGGTGGTGGTGGCGCCAATCCCTTTTTGCCTGGAGGTGGTGTCAGCATCCACAAGGAGATCAACTTGAATGGCCTCAAACAGGGTATATCCGGAGTTATTGGTGGTATTTTGGATGGTGTTGGCAAGCTACATGGATCAGCTGGAGGATTACATGGTGGCGTTGGAAAAGGTGGTGGCTTTGGCGGAGGTTTTGGTGGAGGAGCCGGTGGTGGTGGCGGCGGTGCTTCGGGTCCTGGCTGCTCCTCTGGTAACTGTGGTGGCAAATCGAATCTATTTTTGCCAGGTGGTGCCGGTACTTATGCTGGAGGCTCTGTTGGTGTTGGTATTTTAAATGGTGGTCCTGGTAAGCCCATCAAAAAACCTGACTTATCTTATGTTCCTCCTGCATCAGGAAATCAACCTGGCGCCTGGCAACCCGGCTCTGATCCCAATCTAAATTCAGTTGGCAGCCCTTCCGATTGGCATCCTGGTGTAAACCCCAATCCCTCATGTTCTGGAGGTAGTTGTGGTGGTCCCGGCAGACCAAATGGTAAGGGACCGGTACAATTCCCCAATTCGGGTGGACAACAACCAGGGCCTAGTGGACCTGGTGGTTATGGCGGTGGTGCTGGTGGTGGTGCCGGAGGAGGAGCAGGTGGAGGTGGTGGAGCTGGCGGTGGTGCCGGAGGAGCTGGTGGTTTAGGCGGCTATGGTGGAGGTCCAGGCAGTCTCGGAGCACCTGGTGGACACGGTGGTCCAGGTGGTTATGACGGAAGTCCAGGAGGACCTGGTGGACATGGTGGTCCAGGAGGTTATGGCGGAAGCCCAGGAGGACCAGGTGGTCCCGGAGGATATGGCGGAGGTGGTGGTGCTGGTGGTGGCGGCGGAGCTGGTGGTGGTGGAGGTGCAGGTGGTGGTCCAGGCCGTCCTGGCGGTCAAGGAGGACACGGTGGATTTGGCGGTGGCCCAGGAAGTCCAGGTGGACCTGGTGGTTATGGCGGTGGAGCCGGGGGCGGTGCTGGTGGTGGAGGATGTGCTGGCGGTGGTGCCGGAGGTGCTGGTGGTTTAGGCGGCTATGGCGGTGCACCGGGTAGTCCCGGTAGACCAGGTGGTCCCGGGGGTTATGGCGGAGGTGGAGGTGCTGGTGGTGGCGGCGGAGCTGGAGGCGGTGGAGGTGCTGGTGGTGGACCAGGCCGTCCTGGTGGTCAAGGAGGACATGGTGGATTTGGCGGCGGCCCAGGAAGTTCAGGTGGACCTGGTGGTTATGGTGGCGGAGCTGGCGGAGGAGCCGGTGGAGGAGCTGGTGGAGGTGGTGGTGCCGGAGGTGGTGGAGGCGGTGCTGGTGGATTAGGTGGACATGGAGGATTTGGCGGTGGTCCCGGTAGTCCTGGGGGATCTGGAGGCCCAGGAAGTCCAGGAGGACATGGTGGTCCAGGTGGTTATGGCGGAGGTCCTGGCAGTCCCGGAGGACCTGGTGGTCCAAGCGGTTATGGTGGAGGTCCAGGCAGTCCTGGAGGACCGGGTGGCCCAGGTGGTTACGGCGGTGGTGGTGGAGCCGGTGGTGGAGCCGGTGGTGGTGCTGGTGGCGGTGCTGGTGGTGGTGCTGGTGGCGGTGCAGGTGGCGGTGCTGGCGGACATGGAGGTTATGGCGGTCGCCCAGGTAGTCCAGGTGGCCCAGGAGAATATGGTGGCGGTGCTGGTGGTGGTGCTGGTGCAGGAGGTGGTGCTGGTGGTGGTCGTCCTGGAGGTCCTGGAGGTCCTGGAGGTCCTGGAGGACATGGCGGCTTTGGCGGTAGCCCAGGAGGTCCTGGTGGTCCAGGCGGCTATGGCGGTGGAGCTGGAGGCGGTGCTGGGGTGGGAGGTGGAGGCGGTCATGGCGGTAGCCCCGCCGGATCTAAAGGTTATGGCGGTAGCCCTGCAGGGCCTGGTAGTTATGGTGGAGGTGCTGGCGGTGGTGCCGGTTCAGGAGGACCCGGTGGTTACGGCAGTGGCCCAGGAAATTCAGGCGGCTACGGCGGTAGCCCAGGAGGAGCCGGAAAGCCCTGTACATCCGGCTTGTGTGGTTTCGATGGCAAAGGATTGGGTGGCCTAATCCCTAACTTTAGTGGCGCTGGAGCTTTCAGTGGTGCTAGCGCTTCAAGTTTTGCCTCAGCTGGTAGTGGTGCTTTTGGTTTTGGTTTCCCGGGTGGTGCAGGTGGCGGCTATGGAGGCAGTAGTGCCCCTGGCGGAAGTTGTGCCAAATGTGCAGGTGGCGGCAAAGGTCATTCTGGAGCTTATGCAAGTGCCTCGGCTTCATCTTCGGCATATGCCAGAAGCTATTAGGAACAAAGTCAAAGTCCCAACAAAAAACAGAAACAACAACAATACTCCCAAGTATATACATAGGTGATATATATTTGTTTGTATGTATGTAGTTAGAATATTATTAAGTTTTTTTTATTTTATAATATAAATATTTTGTATATACGTGTGTATATTTATGTGTATGTGCATGTATGGAAGAGAGATCTATAGAAGTTATTGCTTAGATTAAGTCAATTAAATGTCATTAACAATAAAGAAGATGAAATTGAAAAAAAAATGTTTTGTCATTCAACTCGTAAGGGCAGTTGAAGGCGTGTGGCTAATTAGAGGCAGCTAACAAGTATTGAATGGATAATCTAAAGAGAAAAATTCAAGCAAGGTAGTTTCAAAAGTAGATTCAAGGCCATATATTTTGATACAAAGAAATTCTTCAAACGTTCCGTCATATCCACTTTGAGAAGGGAATTTAGTTTCCCAATTTTCCATAGACTTCCCCACATTTTTAATATTTATTTTCAATCACATGTTTTACATTTTCATTTTGGACTTGCACTTGGAATGCATCATCATCATTTTCATTTTACCACCATGTGCATGGCCCATCTTTTTTCCTGCATGACTATGGGCGTGTTTTGTTGTTGGTTTGACTGTGGTATGTGTATGTACCCTCATTGGCTGGTTCATTGTAGGCAGTGTTGATGATGCCAAATGATTCCACATTCCTTGCCCTTCACTATTTTGTGGATAATTGGCTGTTTGTATTATAGTCGGATCAGTTGCCATTATGTCCAAAATATCTAGAGCCCATACCAGATCCATAACGAAAATAAATGCTATGAGAGAAAGGAAGGTAAATAAATGACGATATATTGCTTTTTTCAAAGTTTACTCACCAATAATGCTGTGAATTAAATTAATATTTCGGAAGAAATCCATTTTTGCCAAAATATCCAAAAGAAAAAAATTATGCTATAGTTCGAAATGCTGACTCGATGTCCAATAACTCTTTATTTACTCAAGTGATGCTTATGTGATCTACTTACGCTAAGGCAATCACGTTCAGTTTTCTTTGTCTTTTAGTTAATACCAGACTTAATAAAGTAACAGAATCGAGCTAATTTTTGTTGGAGTAACTTAATTTTGAATGAAAACCAAGTTAAAAAGTATCAGTCGGTTTTGCCGACAGATGTATACCCTCAGCCAATGTTCGATTAGTTAAATATATTTTGACTTTTGTTATGATTAGGCTCTATTGAGTGGGAGAGAAAATCGACCATTTATATGCAATTTTATGCGAAATCATAAGTTCCATATTCATCTCAGGTATATGGTTGAGAGGAATATATATATACCTACCTATGTGGGGGAGGTTCAAGAATTTCAAAAACAGAATCCTCAGAAAGCGAAATCCAACTCTCTTCAAATTTCATATATACAAATATTTTTCTAACACAAGATCTGTGGTATATATATATATATATATATATATATATATATATATATATATATATATATATATATATATATATATATATATATATATATATATATATATATATATATATATATATATATATATATATATATATATATATATATATATATATATATATATATATATATATATATATATATATATATATATATATATATATATATATATATATATATATATCATATATACCACAGATCTTGTGTTAGAAAAAATATTTGTATATATGAAATTTGAAGAGAGTTGGATTTCGCTTTCTGAGGATTCTGTTTTTGAAATTCTTGAACCTCCCCCACATAGGTAGGTATATATATATATCCACCCACATAGGTAGGTGCCAAAAGAAATATTCCGATCTCTACCATTTTTATAACAGATTTACTGTTGATGCAAATATTAAGATGTACCAAGTCCAAATGGAAGCGGATGTTAATTTCGCGTTTTATGAGATTCATGCATATTCAAAACTTTGACCCTTTGTGGGGCAGTTACCAGAAGAAATTTTCCGATCTCTACCCTCTTTATTACAGATCTAGATTTGATAAAAATATTGAGATGTGCCAAGTCTGAATGGAATCGGATGTTAATTTCGCGTGTTATGAGATTCATAGATATTAAAAAATTTTACCCTTTGTGGGGGAGGTACCAGGAGGAGTGGACCGATATATTCCATCTTCACACCAGACCATGGGATAATAAAAATATTGTGATGTGTGTAATTTGAAGACAATCGCATTATATAATTATTCAAAAATTTGCATTTTGTGTGGGAGGTGCTTGATGGAGTAGACGAATGTTGTCCATTTTCGCACGTGGCCTAGCACTGATGCAAATATTAGAATGGCAAAGTTAGACCAAAATCGGATTATCCTTTCTCCTTCTGTGCAGTAAAATATTTTTTTGTGTTTGAAAATGTCGACCTTTTGTGGGGGAGGTACCAGAAGGAGTGGGATGATATTGCCCATCTCCGAACTTAATTTAAATTTGATAATAATATTACGATGTACCAAATCGGATACTCCCTTCGAGAGTTATCGTGCGCACCACCCCACCCAGAAAAACAGACGGACGGACGGATATCACGAGATCGACTCCAAATGTCCTGAAACGGATTTGGTCTAAACAGACTTTGGGTCTAAAACCGTTATTTCGATAAGGCACGTTTTGGCCGTATCAAATTATATATATCCTCCTCTAACCGTAAGGCTGAGGGTATAAAAATTGATGGTCAATCGATCCCTTCATCTCAGAATTGAACTACAGTCCTTAAGTTGCTCGCCAAGTACTTTAATCCCAAAAGAATTTTCCCTTCCCACTCTTTCCAAAAGATATGTTTCAAAGCTGTAGTGTAGGGTACCACATTCTAGGATCCTCCCAGCTTTAGCCTCCTTCAGGAATTCTCATTTTTTACCTATAATATAGATCCATAGCATTAACTAAAAGCTATTGTAAATGTCAATGAATTCCTTCCGGAAATTATGGAATTAAATTTCATTTTGGAACTCGATCGGTTATCAATCTCCCCAAATTTACATTAATACACCATCAATTGTAATCGTTCGTTGACTCCATATTGCCGACAACAACAACTGAAACAGTTGAATAAACAAAATAATACCCTTTTGTATTAATAATTATTTCGATTAAATTTATATAAAACAATCAATATTTCATCAGATCCAAATTCAGTTAAAATCCAACGAAATAACGATCAACAATATACAAAACGAAATGGAAAATTTCAAAATAAAATTATTGATTGGTGGTAACAAATAATTCATTTTTTTTTTAATTTTTTTAATACCTTATTTCTTTTACAGCTCTTTGCATTTATTTTGAAATGACCTCAAGTGCCTACATTCCACCAACATTGGTAGTAACAACAATTCCGGAACCCTGTCCGGATCATATACTCATATTGGCCTATTTGATTATCACGGCTGTTATCATATTCGTCTCACTGGAGATATTCTTGACAATATTATCCAAAAGAAATAAGCAAACTAAGGAGATTCAATATACCTAAGGGAAATACTTTTAATATAGATATACAATTTTTAAAATTTATAAATGTTACTAAGTTTAGTTTAAGAAATATGTTTGAAGTATGAAGAAGTATGTATGAAATTATGTATGCATAGACTTAAAAATTAAAATATGTGTTTAGTCTGTTCCAGAACTGCACGAATGTACAATTTTTAACTAGTATAACCGATTTTTCCTTTATGATATGGAAAGTAAATGCAAAATTGGTGGATTCTTACAGGTTCTGGAACAGAGCAGTAGCTATAAAAACGATAGGATAGTCACAAATCAGGCGGGTGGACTATAGACCACTCTAGATATTTTGTAGAAGAGCTCTCAAAATATATAACACTGTGCCACAACAAAAATAATTATTGCAGGAAATATTCAGCAAATTATTGAAATAGAGCTAAAAATACACACATTTTTTTTAATCTTAGCGCCATCTTACATTTGTAAAATACATTTATACCGTCAATTTTATGCACCAACCTCTGCCTGATTTTCTTCACAAAGTACTGTACAAAACAAACTAATAAATAATGCTATCGATCTTTATGGCTCAGCCGATAACAAGAACATTGATAAGAACTTGTTTTAATTAGAATATAAAAAAAAAACAACACCAAAACAAACCACATGAGCTGCATAAAATGATACCGTCCGTCTACGGGTTAATGGCATGTTTTGATGATAAATTGTTTTTTTTCGACTTTGTCAGTCTATGCTCAGCTATATAAACAAAAGCAACTCGGAATAACCATCAAGTCTCAAGTGCTAATAAAAAAAACACAATAACAAAATGGAACAACCCAAATTCTTTTCCGCCGAACAAGTTGCCAAAGTGTTGACATGGAATTTAGTGAATTCCGCCGTAGAAGAGGCCCTAAGAGCAACAGGGCCCACTGAAGCCAATCCTCAGGATACGGATGCCTCTTTCGCCATACAACCGGCACGATCAGTGACCTCTTGTGGTGATAAATCAAAATTGCTGCTTACCATACCTGGTTTTGTGGGCAACTACAAATTGAACGAGAAACGCACAAACACCCTCGCCTGCAAGGTGGTTACATCGTTTTCTGCAAATCAAAAATTGAGTCCACCTTTACCAAACATATTGGCAAATATCTTACTCTTTAGCTCCGAAACGGGACAGTTACAATGCGTTATGGATGGCACACAAATTACGGGATGGCGGACCGCCTCAGCATCATTGGCCGCAACCAAGTATTTGTTTTTACATCGTTTTCCTGAGGGTATGAGCAAAGCAATTCGTGTTGCCATCATTGGCTGTGGTGTTCAGGGACAGTCGCATGCCATGGGGATGTGTAAAACATTTAATGTTATCGATATTTACCTCTGGAATCGCACTAAATCGAAAGCGGATCAGCTGGGTGAGAAATTGCGTTCAGAGTTTCCCAACTCTGTGAATGTTCATATTGTTGAAACGCCTGAGGCGGCTTGTCGTGAAGCTGATGTCGTTTGTGTGGGAACCTATTCACCCACGGCTTTAATTAATTATAGCATGCTGAAACATGATAATGTGCATATTAATAGTAAGTATTATGAGTAGTAAAATATGGGTGGATAATATTGAAGGGGTATTCCATGGGTCACATTTTTTAATATTGTGGAACAATTTTAAATTGAGAATTCCTGAGAATATACGTTATTTTTTGGATTCCAGCTGATTTGATTAAAATATGATAATTTTCAAATAATGGATCTGTCGGAAGATTTCCAAGCAAATTTGAGGGGGACCCGGAAAAGAAACGTCAAAGGTCAATCGCGGCAACACCATGCAAATTTAGTAGAGCTATCCGTAACAAATAACTGTTAATATTGACAATTTTTAGAACCGTTTAAATTTGAAATCGGATATAACTTATACATATATGGGAAGAATATTATACTCTGTATCGATTTCCACTACATTCGACGGAGGTACAAATACCTCTTACCAAATACCATTACTATAGAGAGCATGATATGAGAAAGCTTAAATTAAAGATATATATGATTGATACAGCTATATCTGAGCCGAAATTCAGTTGAATGTGCAAAAACCCATACTCCTTTGGGCTGATAAATGTGAAATCTGATAAAGATATACGTGGGATCTATATCCAAATCTGAACTGATCACTATAAAATTTGACAGAGGTATTTCTGAGCTCTATTTGATATTTCGCCCCGAATTTCGTTGTTATGGAGTGCATACTGAAACTGTGGGAGATTTTAATATCGAACCGAATGAAACATATTTGGGGCCTATAGCTATATCTGAACCGATTTTAATCAAAATTCATAACAATAAATCTAAACTGAAAAAATTAAAAATTGTTAAAAATATATATTCAATACTGAATTTCCTCTATTTTTAGCCGTTGGTGCGGGTCAGGTTCATTTTGGCGAAGTTGCACAAGATATATATGATAATGGTGTCGTTTATGTCGATTCTCTGGTCAGTGCCAAAACTGAACTAAAGGACTTAAAGGCTAAAATTGTTGGAGAAGTGGGCGAGGTTATTCGCAACAAAGGTCAACGAAGTGAAAATAATCGTATCACCATTTTTCAATCGATGGGTATTGCTGCTGAAGACGCTACTGTGGCACAGGCGGTTTACGAGGCTTTGTGCAAATGAGAACGAACTATTGGCAAATATTAAATGGAACACATTGAATATACAAATACAAGACAGTTTACATTTTTCAACATAAAAAAATTTAAAAGATTAAAAAATATACATTGCCACTAACTAGTAATATTTTCTTGGTAAACTCTTTCGAAAGAGTAAGATACTGTCCATTTATTTTTGTAATTCATTATGGTAAAATGTAAAAATAATTGAAATTGAAATATGTTTCTCTGAAATGCCTTAAACCACTGTGCATGATAACTCTCGAAGGGGTATCCGGTTTGGTCCAAATTATTATCAAACTTAGATCGACTTCGCAGATGGGCAATATCGGTCCACTCCTTTTGGCACCTCCCCCACAAAAGGTCAACATTTTCAAAAAAATATTTTACTGCATCAGTGCTAGGTCAGGTGGGAAAATGACAAATAGGTACACTCCATCAAGTTCTTTGAATAATTTTAACTCTTATAAAATGTGATGTAAAAGAGCGCTTGCCTCCAAATGAAACAGATGATAATATTTTTATTAACCCCCGGTCTGGTGTGAAAATTGGATATACCGGTCCAGTCCTTCTGGTACCTGCCCCACGAAGGGTCAACGTTTCCAATATCCATGAAGCTCATTAAACGCGAAATTATCATCCGATTCAACATATTTATAACCGATGCAAAATGGAAAATATTAGCCCATTCCTTCGGAACCTACTCCATAAAGGGTGAACAATTTGAATAATCATAACACAAGGCAAAAAATTCAATAATCGAACATTGGATAAGGTTATATTTCTGTCGGCTAAACCGAATAATACTTTTGAACTTGTTTTCATTCCATTTGGCAGTTTCTTCGGGGGTAGAATTTCATCATGGTCTTCTTCTGCACTATAATAAAGTGAAACCGGCTTCGAATCAAATTCAGCTGGATTCAATAAAAATTCATTTTCGAAGTTCACAAAGATTCAAGTTTAAAATACTCCTATTTCACTATTTTCTCGAATGATTGATTTTGATTTGATGATTTTACACCTAGAAAATCATATATAATAAGGTCCATATACTTTTATTAAATATAATCTACAATCATTGGATTTGGGATGACTGAACGTCTATAGATAAAAGACGATTGACTGCTTTTTCCTATATTCCTGAACCGTGACTTGTAGATGTGTTATATACTGCATAAAAATTACTGTTCATTTACTTTCTAATGAAATTGGCACAATCTACTTTATAAAGGGTCAGCGAGATTTAAAAAAAAAAAATTCGACATCCTACTCTCTGATTTTTTGAAAAGTTCGTTCCACATGCCTCCTCCTTCGAAGAAAAAATTGTCCAATTATGCCTCTAGACCAAAATCCGCACCAAAAACGGTTACATGCATGTTACAAGTGCTACAAATTTGACGATGCTTTTCTTCTCTCAAAATCCGTACGCAATTTTCGCACAAATTCTGTAACATTACCATGACTTTCAAAATAAGGTCAAAATAGTTCCCAGTCTTGTTCGAACAAATACACAACCATATTCGTTCGGCGAAAGCGCATAAAGGTAATTATCTTTCAAATCAAAAATGAGCTAAGTGTTACCATTCACGTGATAAGCATCATTTAACAAAAAGTTCGATTGGGAAATCATCAGATAATCCTGTGGTGTTGTTGCTGCTATTTCCTTGTATCCTTCAATTAAAACTCCCATATTTTTTATTTTTAAATAATTTGTAAATTTTTTTATTTATGTCTTGATTTTTTGTTGTTTGTTTTTTTTTTACTTTTTTGCTTTTTTATACTTTTTTTAAGTAAAATTTATTTTAATGCATTTTTTTGTTTTTCATTCATTAAATATTGGTATGGGGGACTTGTTTTAAGGGGGGGGATTTTCAATATTTAGTTTTGTTTTTTATTTTTTTTATTAATTTATATATGATAATCCTAGAGATTTTTTTGTTCTGTTTTACTTGGTTTTTCATCATTATTAATTATTTATGCATACATTTTTTTGTTTTCTTTTATTTTATTTATGTTTTGTGTTTTATACTAAACAATAATAATTTCAAAATTGAAATATAGTTTTTTTTTTGCATTATTTGTTTTATATATATATTGTTGTTGTTTTTTTTTTAATAGAGAGTATAGAGAAAAGTGGAGTGTGAGTGTGGTGTGGTGTGTATTCAATGTATATTTTCATTTTTGAAATGTATTTGGGGGAGGGGGGTACACATCTTTGTGTTATTCTGGTAATGTTTGTTGCTTGGTAATATTTATTTTAATCATTATTTTTGTTTTAATTTAATATATATATATTTGTTATCAATTTATGTACGACATATGCTAAAATTTGTTAATTTATTTTTTTGTTTTTCATTGTTATTGTTGTTTTTTTAATTATTAAATATTAAATAATAACTATTTTGGGGGAGAAAGTTTTTTTATTTTTATTGTGTTTTGTTTAATATGTATATATAATAAATTTATTTATTTTTATTATTGTGTTTTTTTAATAATTTTAAATTATATGTGTTTTTTATGTATAATAATAAAATACTCAACAAATATTGTTTTTTTTTTTTAATTATTATTTATTTTTACTTTAGCATTTTTGTGTTTTTTGGAAATAAAAAGAAATAAATTGAAAGTGGTAATTACACAAAGCAAGGATATTGAAATCAAAATAAATAATATCGGCTTTCAGGCTTTTATAGACAGAAGGCCCTTTAAAGTTTTTACAAAGATCGAAGTTCTTTTAAAGATAGAAGATCCTTTAAAGATATGCTACAGACAGAAGACCCTTTAATAGGCCTTTAATAGATAGAAGACTCTTTAAAGGTCTTCTATAGACTGAAGAGGTTTAAAAGGCCTTCTATAGATAGAAGATCCTATAAAGACATTCTGTAGATAAAAGACCGTTCTATAGATAGAGGACCCTTCAAAGGCCTTCTATAAATAGAGGGTGAAATGAAAAAACTGCAACCAACTTCAGACTGCTGTCATTTCCAAGCCACGCGTCCGACAGCTGTTAAAATTATTACATTGCTTACAAACGTAGAAAAGCATTTTGGTGAGAATTTTCCATAAAAAAAGTTATTCGTGATGGCAGCAACAGCGAAATGGTTCGAAAAGTAAAGAAGCGTCTTGATCGAAACCCGCGTGGCCAGTGGCCGAAAAATGGCTCGTGAGCTGAACATATCGCAATATTTCATTCGGCAAATATTAAAAAATGAGCTGGGGTAAAGACATTGAAACTCAAAAAAGTGCAAGAACTTACACCGCAACAGAAAGAAAATAGACTCAAACGAGCTAAAGAGTTGCTTCTCTTGGCCGAATGTGGTAAACTGCCTAATTCGGTTTTCGCAGACCTTGGACATTTTAACATGACTCAGCACCATCGCACTCAGCACGCGCCACCCATGAATGGTTACAAAATTAGGTTCCTCGCTTCATTTCCACCGCACGATCCGTTGGACTATTGTGTCTGGAGTATTTTGGAAAGCAAGGTTGGCACTAAAAAATACCACAGTGCGGATCACCTCAAGGAAGTGCTTCGCCGGGAATGGGCCATAATACCGCAGAGCAATATCCGGGCAGTGTGTGACGTTTTCATTGACGTTTGAAGGCCATAATTCGTGCCAAAGGTGACCAATCCGAACAAATCTAAACTCATTCTAAAATTTGATGCTATTTCCGACATTTTTTGCTTTCATTCGATATAATTTAAAAATAAAATAAAAATTTATGGCGTTTGACTTTGTTGCAGTTTTTTATCTCACCTTGTAGAAGACCCTTCAAAAGCAAAAAGACATTAATCACATATTTCATTTCAATACAACCTCCATAGAGGCTACATAAAATGTTTTTTCCTAACACATTCCTCTCTGCTAGCAAATAAATAAGTGAATAAAAGAAAACATTTAACAAAAATAAAAGGCATTATATTCAAAATAAAATTTTAAATTAAGAAAAATAATTATAAAGAAATCGAAAAAATTGGGAATCATGGTAATAGACAAATAAAAAATAACATTTTGTAACTAAAGTTATTTAGTAATGGTACAAATTTGTTTTTTATATAAATATATATTATACTTAATTATAAAATTAGTAAAACATACTTTTTGCAGGCTTAATTGTATTAAAAAAGGAAATTTTTTGCATGATTTTTGTTTTGTTTTTCTTTAATATAACTTAAAAGAAAACCTAAAACTAAAATAATAATAATCATAAAATATACGAAACTAATTTAATTATAAAATCTAATCAATTGTTTATTGTTCTGTAAAGTTTTTTGTTGTTTTCTCTATTCATATCTATATATATATATATAAAGATGAGTTGCATTTATGTACAAAAGGACTGAGGGGGTAGAATTTTTATATTTAATTTTATTTTTTCTTTTAATTATTATTTTTTTAATTTAGCATTTTTTTGTAAAGCTAAACTTAAAACTCTATTATTTTCATTTTTGTTTTTCTCTTGCAATATATTACTAAACATTTTTGTTTATTTTTTTATAGGTTTCTTGTTTTCTCATATCATTTATTCATCAAAATCTTTTGTTTTTATTAATTTTGTAATTTGTATTTTTTGTTTCTTGCTGTTTGTTTTTCTTTTTTGGAATATTGAAGAACTAGTTTTTCTTTTGTGTTATTGTAATTTTTGTTAATTAATTTTTCCATATAAGCATACCAATTAACTTTTTTCTTTCTTGGATAAACCATCATGGCTGGGATATTTTTTGTTTCTTTGTCAAAGAATGAATTTATGGATGGATGGTATTCGGATGAGAAGGATTTCTTGTTTTCATTGATCAAATTTCGTTGTTGGATTTGTGTGTGGGGGTGGAATTAAGAACACATACGGGAATTTGGGAATTGTAGATAGAGTTTGGCGTTTAAATTTCATTTTAATTTGGCAATTGGAAAGTTATTGCGTATAAATGCTTTAACTGAATGTTGTAGTAAATTAAAATATTTTCATTATATAATTGTAATTTATGTCCTAGGTATATTTAATGAGGTCACACAGGAGACGAATTCAAAGCTAAGGATGGAAATACATAAACAGCATATTTGGCCGGCTTAAGTCATCAACAAAGGAGTTTTAGGCTGACTTAGTTCGATTTTAGCCCTAGGCTCCTTTATTCATTTACAGAGAAGCCAGCCGATGACTTAAGTCAGCCAAATAAGCGTTTTATGTATTCCCACCTTAAGTCCTCTCTTGTTGTCATACATTTTTCAAAAATTAAGAAAACACAAACCAATATTTCACAAATTTTTCATTTCATATAGATTTTAAATATTTCTAATTAAAAAGTTGTGTACTTGACAGCAAAAAAGACAACAGGCGGTTGTCACCTTCTAAGTACACTTTGGCAATTACCTAAAATGGTAAAGACTACACAAAATGCGTTCTGAGAAAATGGTTTGTAGCTATGCTATCTAGAATAACAGGACATGGCAGAAGCATGTTAATATAAAAAACACAACTATAGAAAAGAATTATAAATAAAACTTCGAATAACCCAAATTTTGGGTTTAAAATTCTATTTCATAGACCTTCCCAATTAATTGTATATTGCCTTAGCTGTTTAAATCACTTAGCCATATTGATACGATATCATAACAACAGAGGTATTTGCTCCTGGTGACAATATTTTGGCTCTGACTTGTCTCATCTTTATAATTCTATGTCTTCGACCTTGGTCATGAAAAATGCAAACATAATTTATTTGTATATCACTACATCGAGAGTAATCATATTGTTCATGTTGAAGCAAATTTACTGCAGCATTTAAAATATATATTAGAAAACGCTTTTAATTGTAATCTAGAAAATACAGGTGGGTAGACTATAACAATAAGAGCAAGGTAAAAACAAATATTTATAGAATGCCAACAACTTAATTTTGAAATTGGAAATAGAACCAAGATATGCATTCTCGTTCTATGAAAAAATAAAATGAAAAACATTTTCTTTATAAAATTTTTTATTTCACATTTTTTGCCTTTATAAAAGTTTGCCCAGGGGGGGCTCATCAAATCTTGTTCTATGAAAATGTGAATAAATGAAAAAAATTACAAATAAAAAATTATTGTAAAGAAAATATTATTCATTCATAGAAGAAATAATTTAAATATTGTCGTGAAACAAAAAATCATTCCCAAAGCCGTCGGAACGACCTGAATTCTGCCTGGAAAGCAATTGCCTATTCAAAAAAAGTTGAACTTCTACAACAACAACAAAGCTTCCAAATATCTATTGGGAGCAAATTGTCCACATTAGTCTACAAATAATCCAAAAAACCTTTGAATAAAGCAAGATTCAATTTGAAATGTAACATGACTCCGTGTACGGCAGACAAACGAAATGCGTGTTAACATTTGTAGCAAGGCTTATATAAGGTCGGACAAGAAAGCTTCTTTTAATTACAATTCTTTCAATAAACGTAGTATTTTTTGCACTAATGTGATTTGACTTTCTTTGAATTGAATTAATCACAGTTAAGTTTTTGACTGCAAACTTGGTAGTCAGATGGGCTTCTTATTGGCCGACCTTGTATAGGCCTTGATTTGGACTTTTGGTTTTATTATTTTTTGTTGTTATTTGTTGAAGACCATTTAAGTGTTAAAATGTGACAAAACGGAAAATACAAAAAAAAACACAACTGCGGATACAATTATTTTTCCAAATAACCTGAAATTTTTCAGTTCGAAATTGAGACTATTTCAAAAATTGTCTGGGCTTGAGGTGGAAAGATTCTTGCATATGATATCGAACACATTTCGATTGAAATGGATTTCTATTTGTGAATTTTATATTGAAAGAACTGGAGTTTATTTCGATCGGATTCGATTTTTTAGTGATTTAATCAAGATATCTTCTTTGCTCTAATTAATTAATGTCTTCAATTTCATATTTAATAAAAGAGATTAGTTTGAGATATAATAAATCAATATATGCCAAATCTAAATGATTTCTATCACACACCTCTGGGTTTCATACATGCTCAAAAATATCCCATATGTGTAAGAAACTCTAGGCCAAATTCTTTCAAGCCATATCGAAAACATTTCGTTCTAAACGAATTTGGATATGTACATATCAGCTTGAATTAATTGAAATTTCTGTAGAAACGAATATAAAGAAGGTGCATTTACAAGGGATTCTCCAACTCTTTTTTGAGTTATCGTCAAAAATCGGTAACTTTGAAATCCAAAAAAGTTTATAATATTGGGATCTATCGGTAGGTCTTAACGGCTACCTTGATTTCGTCGCTAACTTAACGACAAATTTCGTTAATTAACGAAATTATATGCATTTTAATTTTACCAACTTTTGTCGACAACTCAATACATGCTTAAGAAAATTCGACTACTGGTCTATTCTATTGCATTTTATTTTGCCTTGTATTTTGGGCCTTTGCAACAAACAAAGGAAGGCCCTATCGTTTGAAGAGAAATTGATTGTTTGTTTTAGGACATTACCTTTCTACGAACGCATCTTACACATATTCTTCGAATATTTTCTTGAAAAATTTCCATTGTGTTCTACAAGTTTTTGAATATTAGAAATTTATTGGGATTGTCACAAGCAACACAATTCCTAATAAGCTGAAATCAAAATATTATGGATATGGAAATACGGACGCATCAAAGTTAAAAATATACAGAAACTAATTTCGATTGAAATTTTTGCAAATATTTGGCCCCTGATACCGCCAAAACTAACCAAAAAAAAAAACGAAAAAAATAATGTTTTTTGTTTAATATTTTACCAAATAACTTACAACTGATTTTATTTACAAAAAATTATTAATGGTTGATTTTTGTTGTGTGGTAATTGTTTTTTTTTTTCTTTTTTTATAAATCACTTAGTAATAGTATAGTGTAATGTTTTAGGACTTATATTCATTGTTTCTTTTTTTTTTTTCTTACTTTTTTTTCGTTTGCAGTTGTTTTCTTTCTGTTTTTTCTCTTAGGGGAAGGGAATAAAATTCTAAATTACAATTAAAAACATTCTATTCGTTTAGAAACTTAAAATATAACGTTTACATGAATTATAATAATAATAATAAGTATAAGAAATAAAAATAAAAAAATCATAATTTTAATTTATAATAATAATAGTAAATGTGAATTGAACATACTAGTTCAATAATAAAAAAAATAATTTATAAAATTTCTGCGGTGCATTTATCACTCACTCTCACTAGCTTCAATGCCCTGCCGTGCAGGGTATTAAAAGCTAGCCAAAGTTAAAACGAAACCTACTGCCATTTCTGGAAGGAGATTATAGGGGGGAGGTCTGGGGGGATAATAGGGGATAGAGGGTCGTGTTGATAGAAAAGTTGTATTTTTGATTGTGATTGTTATTTTTTTTTTTTTTTTTTCATTATAATTTTCTGTTATAATTTAGATAATTATGTTAAGAGAAGGAGAGAATGTGGTTTGTTTGTATTTCTTGTCTTGTAATTTGTGTTGTTTCTTAACAGTTTTGCTTGTTAGTTTTCTGTTTTTCGGGTGATTTTTCTAAGCAGTTTTTCTTAAACGGATGTTTGTTGCCATATTTTTTGTTTTGTTTTCTTTCATATATTATATCTAAAGATTATAATAATTATATTATATATGTGTGTGTTTATAATTAATTATTTTTAAAAGGTAGGCTTAAATTTACCATTACTATTTTTTGTTTTGTTTTTAAACTTAATTTTTGCTCATCCATATTTCTTTTTTTCTTTATATGTATATACTTTTTCTCAGAGAATATTTTTTAGTTTATTTTTCATTCTTTTTTCCATAACAAAGTTTCTTAAACAATTTTATTTTTTATTTTTTTAAATTAGTTTTGTTTTTGCTGCTGGTTCTTCTAAGTATATATTCTTTTTCTTTAGTTTTCTTATCCACAGAAATTTTCATTAAATGTCTTGCTTATTTTTTTGCGTTTCATCAAAACTTTCACATTATCCTTGTAGGCTAAAAATTTTTGTTTTTGTTTTCTTCTTTTGTTTCTAACTTACAATTAAAAAATTCTTTCGCAGTTGGTTGGTTTTATGTGTGTTAAAAATGAATCACCATGTTTTACAAGAGAGAAAAGGCAGAATTCCTCATTTGTTTTTTCTTTGGGTCCAAAAGAATTTTTTTCCGCCATAATTTTTGTGTGAATGTGGTGGCCTGGTTGATCAAAAAGCCTCAAATTTCATTTTAGTTAAATATAAATACAAATCTATATATTGCTGTCATCAAGAATTAATTTAAATTAAACGAAATTTAGTTGTCTAAGAGAACAAATTCCCAATAAAGTAGATATCTTGGAGTTTCTAAAAAATGTAGGCAAATTTTTTCATTATCGAATTTGGGAATGAATCCCTTTCATTTACACACAGAATGGGGGTCATAAAATGGTGTAATTTTTCATGAAAATTCTGTAATTAATTCCCGAGTTCTTTTTATGGAAGATATCGTATTAAAATCGAATTTAAACAATCAACTATTTTATTGACAGCTTCGTAAAATATATCAAATCGAAAGTTCCATTATGCGCCACAAATATTGAACTGGCGGCGAAACATCACCAACGAGTTCAGACAACTTGGGGATAGTGGAAATTTAAATCGTGGTACTTTAAAAAAATTCATGCGGAGGCGATAGTAAACAATACTGGAATGTTTTTCTAAAATTACATCATTTTAAGTCTAAATGAAATTGGAGACACACGTTCGAAAATATAACTTTTGTTTGTTATAATCATCAAAAGGAATATAGGAAAGGAATCATATCCGCCGTAGTGTTTTGAGAAATAGATTTTAAATGCGAGACTTTTTGGGAACTTTAAAGCATAATGAAACACAATTATGACATGTTTAATTGTAGGTAAATTATTACACAAAGGCTTTACAAAAAAATCACCAGCTACCACCACCCCTCACACAAGAGCCGAGCCGAGTCGAGCCACACCCAATGCTCTGGCTGTGGCTAGCCTAAGATTTCTATAACAACACCCCACACTTAACTTAAATGTTACGCTTCGCTATGCATTTTTGTTGTTGTTGTTGTTCAAGTAGGGAAAGATGAAATCTATTCTGGCAAACGGCAGTGTATAAGTTTTTCTTAAGTTAATTTCCTTCTCTCAATCTGCAGAGAAAGAAAGAGGGAGCCGGGGCGTGGGGCGAGTGGGGGATTATTTTCATCGGCGTTGTATTATTTCTTTTGTTCGACTCTTCTTTTTTCCCTAAGAAAATGTTAGCATTTTATGTTGTTGCTGTTGTTGTTTGTTTTGACGGCATTGCTGTTGCATTGTTGTTATAGAATGCTGCTGTTGTTGCTGGCTGCGAAAACTTCTTGTGCCAACATATCCGCTGCCATTGTTAACTGCACCACCAGCCGTAGTTGGGGTGGGCAGCATTGTTGTCGATGTTGTATGCGGTGTTGAGGATGAAGATGAGCTAGCTGCTGTGGCATTCGTTCTTCTTGTATGATGGTGATGATGATGTTGATGTGGCTGCTGCTGCTGTTGTTGTTGGTTTATTATATTGTGATGAGACGACATTCTTGGAGCAGAATGATGGTTTATATTCAGATTCTGATTTATTAAGCTATGTTGATTTTGATGTCTAACATGATGTTGTTTATGATTATTATTATTATTACTGTTGTTGTTGTTGATACTATGATGATCCGGCTGTAATGCTGCTTGTTGTTGCTGATATTGATGTTGGTGATGATTGTGGCCAATATTGTGGTTGTTGTTGTTGTGGTTATGATTGATATTAGTGCTATTACTTTGTATTAACTTTAACAATTATGAATTGGAATTACGTTTAGTGTGCAGCTAGGACGAACTCGATTGATTCAAATTGCCAAACATGCCCGCTGAGAAAGAAGTCTGTCCGGCAGAATTGGCTTGATTACCTGATGATTGCTGTTGCTGCTGTTGTTGTTGCTGCTGCTGTTGTTGTTGCTGCTGTTGCTGTGTCAGCGATTGGCCACGGCCATGCTTTGGAATGGGAGGTTGTATGTATTCGTGCCGCGCCAGCGCAAATACATCCATGCGATCTTCTTTGCGATAAGCCAAACATCCTCTAATAAAACTCTGTACAAATATAAATACAAGAAAAATGATTAAAGGGACTTTCTCTCAATATAGAAATGCATTCTGCATCCTACCTTTGCTTCATTGGATACTGTTGGTTTTGTAGAGAATTGTACTTCTGTGGCTTTCAATATGGTATTCTCCTCTAATATGGTGGCTTGAGATTGATTATGGCCAAATGGTTTCTTGCCATATAAACATTGATAGAAAATTACACCCACGCTCCATACATCGACTTTAGATGAGATTTTTGGTGGATTTTTACCCACAACAAAGCATTCGGGCGGCAAGTACCTAAATAATTAAACAAACAAAAAATTAAAAATAAAATCCTTGAAAACTCCAATATCATCATCATGCTTACCAATATGTTCCTGCTCCCTGCGATGTCAGATCCATGCCATGATCAGGATTGTAATTTTCATCATCCATAACTTTGGATAAACCAAAATCTGTTATTTTGATTTCGCCGCACACATTGCCCTCGGTCAATAGAATATTACCCGGTTTCAAATCATAGTGGATAACCGGTGGTTTAATCTCATTCAAATATTTTAAAGCAGAAACAACCTTAAAATGAAATAGTTTAAAGGATTAGTAAAATTGAACGGTCACCGTAATTAAATAAGTAAATACATACCTGCATTATAATGGAACGTGCTTCACGTTCTGGTATCGTTTTGTGTTGCTTTAGATAGAAATCTAAATCATGACCATCACAATATTCTAAAACTGTACAGAACGAGTTCGCATCGATTTCAAAGACATCATATAATTTAACCACTCTGGGATGATCAAGGGCCTTGTGAATGTTGTATTCTCTTAAAGCGTGCCTACAAAGAAAATTAAATGATTAAACAATGATTCTCATCGCTTTCAAATATTACTGACTATCAGGATGTAACTAGTTTTATAAAAACAGATAAGTATGTTTCAATCTTTCATAATCTACATTAGACCTAGTAACTGGTGCGTATATAAAAGGCATAAATGCAGATCTCTTGACTTCAAAATCAGTGTATAAATTTAACCATTACTGTATGTAATTGTAAACCTTTTTAAATACTTTACATATTTTAGTTTTTTTTTATAACTTTCCCTTCATCCAAATATTTTATTATACAACGCCCACCCTTCACCTAACTGTAACCCACCACCTAATAAGAAATTTGCCACATCTCGCTTACTTGATATAATTGGCCTTCTTATCTTCTTTCCAGTCCTTATTCAACTGATGAACTTTACATGCAACATAGCGTTGTTCCTTCAAATCAAATGCCTTATGGACTTCAGAGAAACCGCCTTTTCCCAAGAGCATCAGCAGTAGATAACGGTCATTCAATACTGGGTGATTATTGAAGCGGGACTGTAAATAAAAAAAAAACAAACACAAATTAAATAACTGCGCTCCACAACGAGGCCACACTCAATAGCACATACCTGGTCTTCATTCAAGATACGTTTCAATTCACGTATATGCAAATTACGTTCACGTTCCAGTTTTTCCATTTCCAACTGGAGATCGGCATCTTCTTTTTTGAGAGCGTTTTGGCGTAACTTAAGAATCTCATCGTATTCGTAGTATTCTTGAGCGGTGTAGACGCCTGATACGGGATCAGGTTTAAGGAACGTTGCTGAATCGGAACCACTGCCAGAATTGTCTCCCCGTCCCGAACCACCGCCACCACCACGATCCGATAAACGATCAGAACCCATGCCAGTACCGCTGGTACCACTGCCGCCATTGTGTAACAGTTGGTTTTGAGCTTGTGTCGAATTTGATCGCGATAGACCACGACCACTGCCGCCACCTCCGCCAGTTGCCGAGGAGACGCCACTGATGCCGCTATCGTTGCCCGATAGACGATCACATCCTGCGTTCATGTTGGAGGAATCATTGGAATTGGAATTCTGCTGGCTATTATTGTTACGCTTGCGACCAGATTCGGCAGGCCGTTTCTTCATTAGTTGCTTCTTTTGACGATCGATTTCCTCACGTTCAGCGGAGATTTCTTCTTGTCGTCGATTCAACTCCTGGAAAGCATAACCGTCGGTCCAGTTTTCCTGGAATGTAGCACCTACACGCTGTGTAACGAACTGGCCCAGCCGCAGTCGGTTCTGCATGCACTTCTGGCGAGCCTCCTTCTTCTCAATGCTGGATTTCTCCTTAAGCAGCTTCTTGACCACATCAATACACTTGGCTATGTGGGATTTGTGTTGATCGATTAGTTTTTGATGAGCAATAATTTGACATTTTTGTTCATCAGACAGTCTTGTCATCTCATCCAATTTTGATTTGCTGGATTCACTCTCCGACTCACGTTCTTGCATGTCGTGTTGGGAGAGATCGGTTTGAGTTCCTTTGGTAACCATCGTTGTCGAGGGTTGTGGCTGGGGCGCTCCACTAACGCCAACGGTTTGTGGTACACCACCTGGATTGTTGGTGAGCATGCCGGCATGTTGCAGTGAATTGAGTTGGGCGGCCGCTACAGCGGCCATTTGTTGTTGCTGCGAGGTTGTCATAGTCTGTTGCACGTTTGTGGCAACGACGGAAGAGGCGGGAAGTTGAAGAGTTTGCTGTTGTTGCTGCTGTGGCAACGGTGGAGGAGGAGGCCCAGTACCCGCACCACCACCGGCGCCAGCTGTTGGTGCACCACCCATCAAGGAACCACCCGCAGCTTGATTGTGTACCATGTGGGAGGACGATATTAGACCAACATTACCGCCCACTCCAACAAGGGGTGATTGCGGAGGAACCATTGCATTGGAAGTTTGCTGTTGTCTCTGCTGCTTACCCGTTACCGAGTTGGCAGCCGCTACACTACTGTAATGGAAATCTGGAGGCGGGGGTTGTGACGTAGGTGTTGGCGGCATACCGCCTGGTGCTGAAATTTGTGGTTGCTGTGGACTAGGTGGATACATGGGATACGTGCTATTACCGCCGCCTACAGATGTTGGCACTTGTTGGGCCTGGGGCCCAGGTTGCTGCTGCGACTGCTGTTGTTGCGGGCCAGCCGATGAGGGACTCTTGGAGCCGCCGCCAGCTGTATGCCTCATAGGACTATTAGTGGATCCTGTGGACTGTACACTGTGCTTAGCATTGAAATAGTCATTGATCTTTTTGTTATCGCCCAAGGAGCCTCCGCTACCAGGTGGTAGGAGACGAGGTGTCTTGCCACCGCCAGAGCCAACACCGGAGCCTGGCATTTGAAGACGATCCTGTTGAGCACCTAAATTTAGAGATAAATTGTTTTTTAATAACTGTGAGCCAGAAGATGAGGAGGAATTGTTGTGTTTAGTTGATTTACTAGCGTTGCTTGAATTATTACCTCCATTGCCGCCACCAGGACCGCCGCCACCGCCTCCACCACCGGCACCACCACTGTCGTCGGTATGCAAAGCGGTTATTTTCCGTTTACGTTTTCGTTCTGTGGGCGTGCGTGATAGCTTTTCCATACGTCCAGTATTTGTGCTACCGACGACACCGCCTGCACTGCCAGCACCACCGCCAGCACTGCCAACTGTCTGTGGCTGATGGGATAGCTGATGTGGAAGATGATGATTTGTGGTTTGCATGGCGTTTGGATCTGTTGATATACCCATACCGCCGGCACCGGTATTCATCATACCGTTTCCAGCTGTTGATACTGTTACGTTTGTTTGCTGCTGCTGCTGTTGATGTTGCAAAATACCGATTTGTTGTTGCAAGATACCGCTGGACTGTTGCTGCGCACTTAGCATGTCTGAATTAACAACATCTTTTTCACTGTGCGAAGAGCCAGTGCTCATATTCGAGTCAGGATTACTGCTGTGGCCACCACCACTGTGCTGTTGCTGCTGATGCAGCAGTAGATGCTGTGAATGTGTCTGCTGCTGCTGTTGCAGTTGAGAAGCCGTTTGTTGTTGCGATGTTGGCGTTTGTAGGTGGTGATGTTGTTGGAGATGTGTATGGGGAGTTGTGGCAAGTGTTTGGGGCGCTTGGCTGTAATGAGTTATGTGTTGTTGCTGCAATTGTAATTGCTGCTGCTGTTGTTGTTGTGATTGCTGTTGCTGCTGCTGTATTAATTGCGGCTGTTGTTGTTGAACCTGTGACAAAAGTGCCTGCTGCGATTGCTGTTGCTGCTGCTGTGAATTATGAACAAAATGTTGTTGCTGTTGTGTTGTATGATGGCTTATGGACGTCGATGTCTGTGGGGCCATCTGCAATTGAGCGCCGGCGGACATCTGCAAATAGAAAGGCAAAATAAAGATGTAATTAGTAATGTTATTTGCATAATATGCCAAATTATTGTAAATAAAATAATTAGCTTATATAAGGTCGTATGAATTTATTTAATTCGAAAATCTTCCCCTACAACATGTCAAAGAAAAAAAAAGAAACATGGAGTGGTTATCTTTAAACCCAAATTAGTTTTGGCCCCCCATTACGACACGTTACAATTGTCACTAATCATAGCCTAGTCACATAACAATGACAGCAAAGAGTTGAACAGCTGATACGTTACATACGACAGACAGCACGTAGTGCACTAATTGCAGTTGTAATTACTCGCACTTTGCGATAAGATTTTATTTAATCAATGACCAATAAATTGTTGAAATAATTTATGTAGGTGGTTGGTATTGCTTATAAAGTTTCACACCTATTTGAAATTTAAAATAATAACATCTTAAAAATCAGATTTGAAATCAATCGCGGAACAAAAATGATTTCGTCCAACTTTCTTCAAGGAATATTCGGCATGGATGGAGGTAGGCATTCATTACAAACAATTTTGAAAGGAAACTCAAACCCGACGTGATGTACTAAAATACCTACGACCAAGATTTTTTATTCACACAATCCAAGAAAAAGACTCAATGAATTTTTAAGGGTGGAATCTTAAAAACACAAAGTGATTCTTTGACTACTTCGAGTTTGACATACTTATATACTCCACATCGCACACACAACACGCAATACATAGGCGACTGACTATGTAAAAGTAAAGCAAAAGTATGTATGTATAATTAAAAGCATTTATAATCAAGAACAACGCAAGAAGACGGAGGAAGGAAAGAGAAAACTAATCATCAAATGTCTTATTCGGATTATAGGTGGTAATTGTCAAAAGTAAAAATAACACAACATTTTTTTTAAATAATTAAAACACAATTATTTTTAGCAACAATTAACACAACTCACATCTTTTAAACATCATTGTCATTGTAATTTTGTCGTCGTTATCCTTTTAGGCTAAGGTCAATCAAGTAGTCACAAGTTTTAATAATTTCATTAATTTCTTCTTTCACAATTACTTTTTTTGTCTTATTTGTCAAAATTCTTCCTCCTCTTTTGTGTTACTACTACACATTTGTTGTTACTTTTCTTTAGATTTCAATGGGGAAGAAGATGACGGCGATGATGATGGAACAGCTGTCGTTGGTTTATTCTGTATTAAATGACAGAGACGTCGAACACCAATCTCTGTGAGCACACAGCAAAAAAAAAGAGAAAGAGTTAACACAACTCTGTCACACACACGCACGCACACACAGCTACTCAATGATTATGTCAAAATTGTCAAATTGCCAGTGTTGTAAAATATTTCATTTAAAATCGTTGTTGTTCGTCGTTCACACACAGCACATCACGAAAGCAAGCAAGAAACGAACGAATGAACACACAAGGAGAAGAAACAAAATACAGAAAACACAACAATCAAAACAGAGAACAAGAAGAAAACACTGAAAAAATATACAGAGTAGACGACGACAACAGAGCACTAAACTGGCATAAAATAAACGAAGAAGAATACGGCGATTTTTTTTCTTTTGAATACGCACAAACACACACAGCCGGCCGAAGAGTGTGCTAAACCCATACTAAAGTGAATTTACTCGTGCAGTGTTCTTGTTGTTGTTGCTGCTGCCGCTGTCATATCCTCGGTGCACACACACGCGTAGTCTTTGAAAAAATCCGCGAATAAACACGAAATGTCTGTAGAATCGACAGGCAGTCGGTCGGTTGGTTGGGCGACCAGTCGTTTAGTCCGGCGATTACGTCGCTGTGTTGTTTTGCCATTTACAAAGCAGTAGTGGGGGAACAAAAAGAAGAAGCAGAAATGGCAGTAGAGAAAAAAGTTTAAGAGATTTGCATGAAGTATAGACGGACGGTTAAATATGGCTGGGGCACAAAAAAAAAAGAAGACGGCGGTGGCGACGACGACAAAACAACGAATACAAGACACAAAATAAATACGGGCAAAATAACAAAGCAGGCACGAGAAAAAATAAAAATGGCTACCACGAAGGGAGAAACAACGATACAAACTATAGACTATTGTGATTAATTTCTATTTGCACAAAACAAAAATCAAATTTTCAATTAATTTTCGCTTGCTTTTTCACCAAAATACATTCAAGCATTATTTCCACTTTACGAGAAATTTTACCGTCACTCACACACTTCCGTTTTTAATTTTGAAAACTCTGTGTTTTTTTAAATTAATTTCCTTAATTTTTTTAGTGTAACTTTCTTTTTTGTTTTATAAAAAGATTATATTTTTTAAACACACATACACACACTTATACAATTTGCTATGCGAATTAAATACTTTTTTGCAAATTTGTGTTTTTTGGCGTTTTTTTTATCTTTTCCTAACCTACCGATGACTGTCAAAACGACATTTGCTCTGTGATTTGTGTGTGAGTATCAAGCGACAGGGATAGAGCATGGGTGTGTGTTTGAGTGTATGTTATTCAAATATTTTGGCTTTGTTGTTTGCTTCGACTTGATTTAAGATTTTTAGCAATATTTATGAATGTTAAAACAAAAAAAAAAACTAAAATTGATTATTTCATTTTCTTTGTCAATCACCGTCACCATCATCGCCGTTCTTGTTTTGTTTTTGTTCATTTTGGGACGAAAAAAAAAATTGTCTTTGGGAGAGAATATGCCTGCGTGTTTGTGTGTGTGCCACTGAATTGAGAAAAAAAAAACTCACACAAAAAGTAAATGAAATTAATGAATTTTTTCCATTCTCCAATTTCTTTTTTTTTTGCAATAATTATTTAAAATTTGTAATTTATTAAACACTTTGCAACACTGGCCGCGATCATTAATCTTTTATATTAAGGTATTTCATTAAATAAAATTACTTTTCACTGCATTTTCTTCTTTTTATTTTTTTTTTTTTTTTGTTAATTACAACAATTTCTGTAGTTGAAAGCAAAAAAAAGAAAAACTGTATGGATATTTTAACGAAAAAACTTGTCTTGTTCCGCGAGACGTTGATAATGTTAAAAGGAAGGAAGAGAAATATTTTATACGCCAATAAATGGTCTCATGATGGTGGTGGTGTGTTGTTGTCTCATCGTGCTGCTGCCTGCTTGCTAGCTGGCTGTTCGCAACGTCATTGTAGAAAACATACCGACATACATACCATACCATACATGCATAAGAGCACTCATGAGCGAGGGAGCAAAGAATGTGTGTGTATGTATCTTTTGCCAAATGCCTACTACTCTTGGTGTGAATGTATGTTTGAATAGAGTAAGTAGCAACAACAACAACCAGAGAAAAAAACAACGAATATCATTCAAACAATGGGTTGCCGTGTTTTACAAAATAATCAAAAACAAAATCCTCTTGAAAAACGAATCAAGCAGCACACAACAAGAAGAAAAAACATGGGGAACAATTTTATATCAAGTCCCAAGTGCGCTTTGATGCCTAATTTACTTCTCTTAAATGTTTACAACAACAACATATTTCCAAAAGGGGGGCTGCTGCTGCCTTCTCTGTGGGCTGTTCTCTCTTCCGTTATTTCCAAAATTATGCCATTCTCTCAACACTAGAGTGGCAGGCAAAACATTGCAATTTCTTTTTTGCCTCTCTCGCCGCTCTGTGTTATGTACTCTTAATAATGTTTTGGGTGTTTTTTCTGTTGTTGCTGTTGTTCGTTTGTTTGTTCGGTAACAGAGAATATGCGCTGCTTTGACGATATAACAAGATAAGGTGTTAAATTAACAGATGTTAGGTCAATGAGGTGTATCATTTGACTGTCTTATTTATTATTCAAAACACAGTGGGACATTTATGGTTGGCATTTAACAGAGAGATGGTGGTTGAGTTTACATTGGGTTAAATCGTTTAACATTCACATGTAGATATTAAAGTGGTATTATTTTCTTCTTTGCTGTGGCGATGTAATTAATGTGGTTAAGAGATAATAAAATTTAACAGAAAAGAAGAAAAAATGATAAGGCATTGGAGATGAAATAAAACCGAAGCGAAAAATTACAACTAAGTGGGAAAGGGATTGGAGTTTATTTTTTCGGTGCAGAAAAACTAATTTTTCCTGCAAAAAATAGTTAGTCTTTTTTCTGGCAGACAACAACGCCAATTAATATGAGTATCCAACATCATATCAGGCTATGCGTAGGTATGTATGTTTATAGTTATTTTTAGATATGAGATTATGATTAACAAGCATTTAAATGGAATGGGAAATGTAACTTTTTTCTCCAAATTCTATACTGAATAGGTAGATGGTAACGTAACACAAATTGAAAATGGATGGATGGATGTCAAATTACGATTTCATGAAAAAAAACCAATGGTAGGTTTAGAAAGGGGTATAAAAGTAAGAAATAATTTCAATAATAAATGGGAAGACCAAAGAGAATTTTCTCCTTTAACTCAACCAAAGAAATAAATTCTGGATGTGGTTGCAAATAATTCCAACTAATAATGGTGGAAAAAATTGGAAGAAGAAAAAATTCTGTACACGATGCAGCAAGCAAGAGAATACATTTTTTTCTGTATGTTGTAGGTATGTATGTACCTACCTATTCACAGAAAAAATTAGGTCATCAAACAACGAAGCGTTTACATAAAAGCCAAAAAATTCATCTCATTCAGACAAGAGCAGCAAAAAGTAGAAACGAAAACATGCATGCCAGCCAACCCATAGAATTCATTTAATTTCAAATAGATTTTCCCCTCAATTTGACAGTCTGACCATTAATATATACCCACATACCAGCCAACCGAACCAACAAACATTGTAACAGATCTGCTGGCATTAAAACTATTTTCAACACATTAAAGAAATAATGAATTATCGACATTTTTCAGAGTCTGACTGACGTCCATCCACCATCCCCGTCCGTCCCCGAGAGCTTCCCACATTCTCTCAACGCCAAATTATTTCCGTTTTCACCACACCCCCACACACACATCAAATCAAGTACCCAACAGCATACACACAATGACACTTGAGAATCAGCTATTTTTCATAGCACCTAACCTAACTCTAAGCGAAGAGCAGAATCGGCAGCATAATAGTTCAAATACAACGCACAATCGGTTTGGTACATGGCAGCCAACACAAAATACAGAAGATGCAAAACCCAACAACAGCACCATCACGACGACGGCCAGAAAACCAACCGTCGCCTCGTCTCGCTCGCGTTATGGACTTTTTGCAGACCTTACAATCCGCCGAACCTATTGAAATGGACCGACTGCTAGCTGCTGAATCAAATAATCCACAACACACAGCGTGTTGAGAATAGGTACCTAGTAGTCAATTGGCAAAACTGGGGGGCACAGGCAGGCAGCAACATAATCATCAACAACATCAACCAAACAAAGCGACAAGCAACACAATAGGCAGCAGGCAGGCAAACAGGCGGCCCCTGTAGGTGTATGCAATGAAAAAGAGAGCAAAACTTAAAATGCAAGTCAGACAACCGAATGAACGACGAACAAACGCCTGTCCAACCAACCGACCGACCGACCGCATGTGCATGCATATGAAACAACATTGAGAAGTGTATACACAGCAGCAACAACAACACCAGCCATCAGCAGTGCACTTCATACAATGCCATATCAAATACATTGCCGTTGGTCGTCGACTCGTCCGTCATACGCCAGCCATCGTCGACCGACTCTCATATAAACAAATCTCAACAACAATACTTTCAAAAAGCAGCGCAAAAAATAAAATTGCAAACCCGAAGATGAAGAAAAAAAAAGGCAACACGAATGGGCAAGCAACCAACAAAATAATGAAAAATACAAAAAAAAAATCGAAATGAAAACTAAAAACCAGTCCAACTAGTTTAAAAGGGGAATGGACTCCAAGTAGTGATAACAGCAACCAACCAACAACGACGACGACGACGGCAACGAGACCGACCGCATACGAAATGGAAACACAGCAGCAGAAGTGACAAGCCAAAGCAAGCAAAAAAAAAAAAAAACGATAATTGTATGAAAATATAAAACACAACTAAAGTCAAACAAGAAATGATACACTACTGCCGACGAACTGCAGCACACACAACAAACAAGCGAGCGAGAGTCGTCAGTCGTGTCGGGGCCAGACCAATCTAACATAGCAGAATAACAACAAAAAAATACAATATAATATAAAACCGAAAACAATCACTATAATAAATACAGGCAGCAGTAAT